CCCCCCCCCCCCCCCCCCAGCCTCTCCTCCCAGCAGAGGGGTTCCAGCCCTCGGGTCATTGCTGGGGCCTCCTCTGGCCCCGCTCCCCCAGCTCCAGCTCTGTCCTGTGCTGAGGGCTCCAGAGCTGGACGCAGGACTCAGGGGGGTCTCAGCAGAGCGGGGCAGAGGGGCAGAACCCCCTCCCTCGGCCCTGTGCCCACGCTGCTGGGGATGCAGCCCAGGGCACGGTTGGCCTGCTGGGCTGCCAGCGCACACTGCTGGGTCCTGCTGAGCTTCTCACCAGCCAACAGCCCCAAGGCCTTCTCCTCAGGGCTGCTCTCTATCCATTCTCTGCTCCGCCTGTATTTGTGCTTGGGATTGCCCCAACCCATGTGCAGAACCTTGCACTTGGCCTTGTTGAACTTCACAAGGTTTGCATGTGCCCACCTCTCCAGCCTGTCCGGGTCCCTCTGGATGGCATTCGTTCCCTCCAGCGTGTCGACTGCACCACACAGCTTGGTGTGGTCGGCAACCTTGCTGAGGGTGCACTCGATCCCAATGTCCATGTCGCCAACAAAGATGTTAAACAGTGCCAGTCCCAACACTGACCCCTGAGGAATGCCACTCGTCACTGGTCTTCACTTGGACATTGAGCTGTTGACCACAACGCTTTGAGTGCGACCATCCAGCCAATTCCTTATCCACCACCGAGTGGTCCATCCATCAGATCCATGTCTCTCCCAGTTGGAAACCAGGCTGTCATGCAGGACAGTGTCAAATGCTTTACACAAGTCCAGGCAGATGACATCAGTTGCTCCTCCCTTACCCATCAAATGCTGAGAGCCATTCACAAAGGGACAGTTCAGACAGCAGGACAGTGCCGATGCGTCTTCCAGCAGAAAGAGTATAAGGCCCAAAAACACCTTTTGCCATCAGAGCTGGCATGTTAAGAATACCCAAATGCTGGAGCTAGCAAAGGGACAGCATGGAGGGCTGTGGAAGTACTTTGAGATGGAGCAAGAGGGAAGGCAGGGAGTTGGCACTACAAAGTGACAGCTTTTCCACTGTCCAGATTCAGAGATGTACCAGACGCATAAGGCAAACGCCAAGAACACACGGAGCACAAGGCAAAGCCTCTGGGCTGGCAGCCACTTCCAAGAGTGTGTGCCCCCCTGCCCCCAATCCAACTGCCACACTTACTGAGGCTCACAAACTCATTTCTTCAGCTTCAGGCCCAGAGCTCTGGGAGATTCCTACGGCTGCTGAAAGAAGCAGCCAAGCAGAAACATGCATGTGTAGCGCAGTTGCTGCCTCTGCAGTGAGCTGGCCTTAGCTGCCATCCAAGAAAGAAGTGGGTCAGGGACACTAGCTCAGGAACTAAAGTGGCTGAGGGACTCCTGGAGCTAAGGGAACACCCTCTGGGCCAATGTCTAGGTAAGGAAATGATGCTGCATAACTTAATGTCTGCCTCCTGATCCCAGTAAAGCTGTGGGATGTGCTGTGGACAAGGTGGTCTTCTTGAGAATTTACACCTACACTGTACAGGAAGCTTCCTCTTGATTGCTCCCATTCCCCTGGTTGCGTTCCTCTGGGAGGAGCTGGGGGCTTAATTCAGCTCTGCCCTTACTGCCAAACTGGGAACCAGGACTAGAAATCAAAGACAGAATAAACTATCAGTTACTGGCCAGCACTGCAGACTCTGCTGGGTTAGGCCAGCACAGAGAGGCTCTCACGTAGCGCTAAAGCCAGGCCAGGGCTTAGAACCAGTGCACAAGGAGCGCTCGGGGACAAAGGACTCCTGAAGCCTAGCAGCCAGCTTGCCCACCATCGTCCATGCCATGGCTGTGACAGGATGGGCAAAGCTGGGTTTCTCCCAGGTCAGCCAGTACCCAGAGTCAAAGAGGAAACCCCCAAGGAAGCAGCATTAAGTTGCATGAGGAGCAGGGCCCTGCCTGAACAAAGATGCAGAAAGGAAGCTGGACTGCAGAGCACGTAACGGGCACCGCGAGCACAGCATACATGAGGCCTCACGCAAGAGAGAGCGCAGCAGAAAGTTCCAAAGGTACCATCAAACCAAGAAAGATGACAATCTCCTCAGCACAAAAGCAGCAGGTCTCAGAAGTCATTTTTTTTAAAGGAAGAACAACAGATCGCCCTCTGAGGAGACAGCAGGGAACTCAAAAACAGGGGTGCACGCTTGCCTTGTGTGTTAAGCTTTTGAAGAAGGTGCATGATGGCATTTCACATGTACTATCAGAGCTAAAATAATCTCCAGACCTACACGCCATTGATTCATGTACACCCCATGGACCACCACTCCAATACCAAAGAACTGTTTTAGAACCTTAAAAATGTCAGTTACAGACATTAATAAGGAATTAGCATTTTATAGAGGAATGCAACTGATTTTCTCCACTAGTTCCTGCCCTGTTGTTACTTTAGCAAACAATAAAAACTTCTACCCACCTATATCATCATAACGTTCCACCCAGACCACATACACTTTGGTTTCAGGTCCCATCGGTGGAATGGTCCGGCCCTGAGGCAACCTCTTGGATCTGGAAGTAGGACTGAGCTGTTTTGAACACAAGTGAAGAGAAGTATTTGCAAACATCGTGAGCCCAGTAACGCATCCAACAAGCATTTCCACAGTTTCTCCTTAGTGCTTAGACCCTCGGACCTCAGACAGGCACAGCCTCTGCCAGCTATTAAGATGGGGCAGCTGCGGCGGAACCACCCACTGAGAAACAGTAATCTGGGTCTCCACAATACTTCTGTTCAACATAAATGAATATATTCCATCTTTAAAAACTGGTTCAAGTTTTTCTTTATGTTCTCAAATATCTTAAATCAGTAACTAAATATACCTTTGGGAGTGAATTCTATACAAGAAATAAGCAGTTGTAAATCCCCGCTAACTGTTCCAGCAGGTCACGGTTTTCTGCTTCGCTACCACAGAAAACCAACTTCACATCTGATGCTTCAGACACAACTGCCACATGCCAATTTAAACTGGGTAGGCATGAAAAGTGTTCATGTCCATCCATCCTAAATTTCCAGCCTGGATCCAAGCCTGAATTACTGTGTAAATACTGCTTCTACTTCTTCCTGCATGCATTTCAAGGTTTCAGTATGCAGAGTGTTCTACTTAGCATGTTTAAGTTTTATATTTAATGAATGTAATCTTGCAATCTCCTACTGCAGGTGTAAATTCTGGCAGGACCAAAGTGGTTGTTAAAGACTAATGGCTAGGAACAAGGAGCTCCAAATGCGAGGAAACCAAATCATACACTGTCAAAAAACGCTGTAGCATTACCAATGTGCTTCTTGGAGGGGGGGGGAAAAAAAAGTATAAAATAGTGTATCTCTGAGTGCCACTTTTCAATGCAGGTTTTGCCTTACCCGCTGGGAGGGATTAAGATTGTCTGTATGATTGGGGAAGAGTTCAAGTGTCAGAGGCTGCTGCTTCAATATTCCTGGCAGCAGATCCATGTTGGAGTCGCTTTCTTGGTCAGAGACGTTGCTTTCCAGTGAATCAGCTGTAAGCCAGAAGAAGAAAGGTGGGTTTTGTCTTTTCTTCTGCCAGAAAACTTAAGCTGTCATCATATGTAAGGTTTTGAAACTTAAAAAAGGTGTAAGGTTTTGGAAACTAAACATACATCGATTTACGGTCAATCAATATAGCGTTCAAAAGCAGGAAGAGGATTCAGCAGTGGACAACTGTCAGTTATTTCAGAAACAGCACAATTAAAGCACTCCCTTTGGATTTAGAATTGTCCCATCCATTTCCCGTGGAACACAGTCTCTTCCTTCCTACGGCTGTCATTTTCTCACAGCCCTTTTATTCCAGAGAACTCTGCACACTGGTTTTAGAGTGCAAAAGACGGCATGAAAGCTGTCGCTCCCCTACATAACAGTTGCGCACGTGCTCCTTCTCGTGCTGCAGGAGCACGTCACCAAGACAGGAGAGGAGAAAAGAAAAAGCATCCCCAGTTGACGGTGAACCATATGTCCAATCTAATGCACCCAGGGTAACAGCAACACTACTGCGCAAACCTGGACACGTACTGAGGCTTCGACTGAGAAAAAGGGGCACAGAACAGATACCGCCTTAGGAACAAGTCTAAGGATCAGGATGTTGCAATTTAAACATCAGTAGCTTTCTGACAAGGGTCTTGCTAGACACACTACTAGTTAGCTTATTTAGGTTCTGCTTCTGAAAAAGCTGTCTAACAACAACAACAAAATGTGCTTTGGTCTCTGTGAACAGCATGTTCAAAGCGATCTTACTTAGGGACTCCACTGGCGACGGGACAACAAAAGCTATTTCTGTCAGGGCATCCGCGTAATACAGCACCTTCTTCTGCCCATTGAAGATACTGGCCCCAACATCTTCTGAAATAACTAGATCATCTGAAACGGACATAAAAGGAAAGTTTAGTCAAAAGGAAGCTCTACCTCTTTATTAACTGCCTCAGAAGAAGACATTCGAATACAAAGTGCAATCAGTAAGGAGAAATTTTAAAATGAGAAGATTTCACAGTCAAATCTCATGGCTAACAACCATTCCCAGACAAACTTTTTTGTTATCTTGAAGAAAATAGCATTTTGGGCTGGGAGAGGACTTATCTGAATATATTTGAACATATTGTGCTGCATAGCCCATTCCCCTGGGATTGAGTAGGCTAGTAAGCACACCTGCCTCCAGAATTCATCTAGTAGCTATTTCTAACCATTCCCTCTAACAGACATCATCACATTTCCAAAGGTTTCTAACATTTATAACTTCAGTCTGATACTATTCTAGAATTCAAGCCAGCTTCTAGAGACTCCTCTATGCCTTTTCTTCTGGCAAGGAGAGTTAGAAAATGACTCGCTGGAATTCAACCCAATGCAAGAAAGCTCCTTGTTCTCAGTCCTCATTTGCTCCCTCACCACAGCTCGCCCGTACATCAGGCCTTCACAGCACAGAGAGAAAACGATTCTTTGGTAGAGCCATGCTGTCACTGACTCACATACACACACAGCCCCCCTTCCCTTCCCCACGCTGCCTCCAGAAAGCCTAAGCAAGGGCTTTAAGCTGAATTATTTCTCTGATCCAGTTTACAGAAGGGTGCCTGGAATAGCTGCCTCAGCAAAATCAAGGGAGCAGCGAAATCCAGCACGCTGGCAGCGAGGTGGCCAGAGGCAGACAGGAGCCTCTGAGCCATGCTGCACCACCCCGCATCTCCAGCCCGCAGCCCTCGGGGAGCGGCACCACGACCCGAACCCAACTGTTCGCTTCCTAGGGTGTACGGCTAACAAAACCAAAGCATCTGCCTGTGAACTGATTTTAATCATTTTTCACTGGCAGCTATTCTAGACTCCTGAATGGGTTTTTAATCATCAGAGCCATCCACAAAGAGAAAAACACACTTAACAAAACAAAGCTTTAGTCACAGCAAAGACTGGAGGAGAAAACAAAGCAAGCGACCTTCACAAGTTGGTCCAAGTCTGCTCTAAATCTGCTATTTCAGTCTTTTAGCCACTGCTTGCTAAATGTAGGACTCCACTTATGGATTTTTCCAACAGCAGAACCAGGGCAGAAGTAGCCCTCCCTTCCATCCCTGAATGCTTTTTCTGTTCCTTCTTCCCCCAGTCTGCTGAATTCAATCAGCTGTTTGGTGGTCTGTGATCTGACCCAAATCGCTGAAAAAAAATCCAAGTTAAAAAGCCCACATTAAATCCACATTAAAAATCCAAGTTAAAAAGGCTGCCTCACTGACTCCAGGCACCATCTTCTGCGCAGCCGTACTGATCAGGCCAGCCGCAAAGGGAAGGGAGAGGGCTCTGCCTCCGAGAAGAGCACAGTCTGACCCTGTCTTCAAAGGGAAATCCAGCCAAGACCTGGCCATTTTGTAACCTCTCCTGACTTTTTCAGATAAAGCCATGCTTCTGTTGTCTTAACAGGTTTCAAGCCTTCTTTCATTTGTAGTTCTATCCTACAAATGAATACAGCAGCTTTTAGTTGGCTGCAGTTACAGGTGAAGAGCATTTCCAAGGTCCAGCGAACGGAAAGCAGAGCAGGAGCACTGCTTAAGCAACTGCAGCAGTAACGGTGCTGCACCTGATGCAAATGCCAGATCAGAGACATCCAACAAGCTGGACCAGCCTGTTCAATGCCTTTGGGTGACCCACAGCAGAAGGCCAAGGCTCTGCAGATCACCAAGAAAAGGTCTGGTCCTTGGAGCAGTGACCACGAACCACACTGAGACCAACTCAGACACTATCAGAATCCCAGGTAATTCAATTACGTTGCTCTTCATGGCAGAAACTAACCCAGCTTCCAGTCCACCACCCTGGGACAGCAATGCACCACCTTGAGGATCATTTTGGTTGACAGAATGGGGAGAGGGCAGTATATGACAAGCCCACAGCAGGAGTTTCCGCTGTAGCAGAAAAAAGCAGAGTAAATTAAGCAGGACAGGAAAAAAGCTGTGTGTGGGTTCCAACCACCATGACCTACAAACCACAGCTTGTTTTCATTACCTTCTACCAAGCATAATCACAAGGCTAACTTATTAGTCAATGCCTCATTTTCACCTACTTCCAGAACACTAAAAATTGCACAGTAGCACTAAATGAACACTAAAAATTGCACAAAATTTGTTTGCCAATATGCAGCACCATCTGTATCCGATTTCATCTGAATACTGCTTTTGGATAATACATTAAAGCCTTATCAAGTCTGCTAAAAAAAACCACCACAGAGGTATTTCTTGCAGAGGCTACTTCCTCCCAACACCACACACAGACATGAGTTTTGCTCACTTTGACTTGAAGCTTAATTTAATATTTACACATTCCTTTCTAGTAAACATCAGCATTTATCTGAAAAAAATATGCAAGTGCCCTTATAGGTATCCAGGAGCAAGAAATTTCAAATTAATTGTCTCCTAAAGGAGCCTAAACATTTTAATTTCATATGACACCATTTACTACGCCTTACCTTGTTCAGGTCCCTCTTCATCACTGCAGCTATTGATGGACCAGCTTGTTGAGACATGGCCAGTCCACCCAGGGTGCTTCCCCACGTCAACGGACCAGCCAAGAGACAGCAAGAACTCCAGAAAGTGTGGCTGCACAATTCTGGAAGACTCCATGTTCTTCAGGATCTGAAATAACCAGCAGCACCCCAGTAGGTACAGGAGACTCCAGGAAGCAGCCTTCTTCCTCTCCACTTTTTTAATTAAAATTTTCTGTCACCAGTGTGGTTTTGCCCAAACATAGCTACACAGCAAGCCGGGAACCCCTGACTTGCTACATGGACACTACTCCCTGCTGCCCAGCACCCTCCCCTCCTGCCTGGCAACGTCCTATTCGATCAACTCGTCGTTCTGCCATCATGGCCAAAGCCCGTAAAATGGTTAATCAAACTGCAGAAACTGAAATTTTGGCATTTATCCACTCGTCAGGGATAAAGCACAGAACTGCCCAGCGCAGAATCTGCATCAGCACCAAATGTAACACAAGAACTTTCAGAAAAATTTTCAATACTAAACTGAGGTGACATATTAGGAGCAAGGTATTTTATCACTGCTCACCTGCAGATGACATGCAGCGATTTAGAAGGCAGGCCTCACC